AATTACTTTGATAATCTGATTACTTTTTTCAGTAATCTGATCTGATTACAGTTTGTGTGTGTGTGTGTGTATATATATATATATATATATATATATACACACACATACAATTTCTAAAAAAAACTATATTAAAATTATATATTTTTATTGATTATTTATTATTTTTTGAACATGTTTTTGTCAGATACACCCATCTAAAGGACGTTTGAGTTGCAACACTGACCTCAGCATGCATCATAAGCTTGTACTTTTGATTGTGAAAGATTTGCATGCCCAGGTCTGTTTGTAAAGGAGAAAAATGAAATGTGGGGTTTGGGGTGGGTGCAAATAATAGTGGTGTAGCGTTGAAGGTTTTGCTGGTCTGTGAGACAAATTAGTATTTGAGCTGCCTTTGACTTTCTGGGGAACTGTTGGGATTTGTATGGGGGGCGTTTCCATGGCAAACGTCCTGGAATGTTTGTGAATGAATGGCAAGGCCAGTGTGAGAGGGACTCTTTGGAGCCCTGTCCTTTGTCCACCGAGGGCAGCGCTGCCAGGACGCATCAAATCCGTCCTGACATCCCGAGAAATTAAGGCAAAAGTGGACAGGGCTTGTAACACAAGACCCTCGCTGAGTTCTGGGAACCTTTCTGAATTGTGTGTTTGTGGGTAAATCAACAACTGCTCGATATCACTGTGGGCAGCCATCGGACTGTCTGACCCGCTCTTGATATTTCCTGGGGTGCAAAACTGTGTTTTTGTCTGGTATGATGGCCAAATGCAGCCAACTCATGTAGATGAAAAACATTATATTCCAATTAATTGAACACGTTTCATTGTATGTGTGAAAATTTCTAATTATTAAGTACAGTAATTAAGGCTTAATGACATTTAATTGTTGCTGAAGATGTAAATATAAATCATTATTTGCTGAAAATCTTAGCATCTGACCTAGCTCTCCATGGCACATTCAAGAGAGAAGTATAGCAATACACATTTTTGGTGGTTTTGCATTATTTTTGAAGTTTGAAACATTTGGTCCCCATTCATCAAATTCTCCATATGTGACCCTGGAGCACAAAACCAGTGATAATTTTTTAAAGTTATACATCATCTGAAGGCTGAATAAATAAGCTTTCCACTGATGTATGGTTTGTTAGGATAGGTCAACATTTGGCCGAGATACAACAATTTGAAAATCTGGAATCTGAGGGTGCAAAAAAATCTAAATATTGAGAAAATCATCTTTAAAGTTGTTCAAATGAAGTTCTTAGCAATGCATATTACTAATCAAAAATTAAGTTTTGATATATTTACAGTAGGAAATTTACAAAATATCTTCATGGAACATGATCTTTACTTAATGTCCTAATGATTTTTGGCATAAAAGAAAAATCGATAATTTTGACCCATACAATGTATTTTTGGCTATTGCTACAAATATACCCCAGCGACTTAAGACATCTTGTGTGCATGCTGCTTGATTATGGCAAAAATCATAATCACAATGATTTTGGTCAACGTAAGTACAATTATTTAACACTATTAGAAATTGGAGATATGACCAAAATCTTAAATGTGTAATTTTATTTCTTCTTCACGAAAGCAATATATTTTGCTGGAACAAAAGTTCACTCCATAGTCTTCACTGTGAGAATTAAACATACATTGATTCTTATTAGCTACTAAAGCTATTCAGTGATTGTGTGATTAGAGTGATTTTCTCTTATTCTTTTGTTGTTTGATTCACATAAAGGACACAGCAGCAGGTTTATTAGGCACATTAAAGCACAGATTTAATATACTGACACATCCAATTTCTTGCTCTAATGGTTTATGTTCACTTAAGACATAACCGATTGTATTTATGTGAATACTTGCCAGAACTTTTTGTGGGTGTGTGTGTGTGTGTAAATGAAGGGTCGCAAACTAAAATCAATTAATCGCACAGCCCTAGTATGTGCCCCCAAATCATCAGTGTCCAGCATTTGGATGTGATTGAGGTAGTGTGAATTTTTTTCAACCCAGTTCCCTGCTAAAGTGGGGTCCTCTCCAGGTTCAGTGTAGGGATAACAAGAGAAACAAGCTGTCTTTACAACAATCCATCTCTTCTCACAGCTCCCAGTTTCTTTGAGTTTGTTCCTAGAAAGCTGATGGAAGTGTGTGTAGAAGTGTTGAAGAGAAGAGTACAGTCTCCTTCGCGAGAGAGAGAGCTCTTTCACAACACAGGTTTCTTTCAGCAGCTGCATCCCCTCGCAGGGCTTGAGGTCTGGTCATCAGCAGGTCAGGTAGAGCTACAAAGAAAGACAGCACAGACGAGTGATTGTACCACATACCCAAGAGCCCCACACCTCAAAACCTGACCCACATGGAATATGCAGACTTTTCATGCACTGTGATGACATCCATGTACTTCTGTAGAATGCATATAAAAGTGTGTTATCAAATAAATGCTTGTTGTCCAATGACCCCCATGATGGGGGATTCAACTCTGCGGAAAAATGAGTTGTGTGGGGCCTGTGCGGGCCTGCCTCATAACACACAGACAGGGCCTGAACTGACTCTTTTAACCTCCTCAAACCTAAATGTCTCAGTTGTGAGGGTGACGTTGCCCTCAGATTCTGGGGAGTTAAAAATGTGATGTTGTGCCATGGAGCCTCCAGCAGTCTCCATTTATTGCCTTAACCTGCCCTCTTGTTGTAGTGCCATGGAATGTTCTCCGACTCTGGAGATTTTTTTGTAGTAATTGAGTATAATTAATTTGACTTTAATAGAATCTTTTACTGGCAAACTACCAAGACCAGTGGAATTTATTTCTGGAACTTTCGTGCAAAGTCTTAATTTAAAACATGGGATACCAGGATTGTCTCTTCGAAGCAAGGACCTTACAGTGATCGAATCGGCCAACTTCTGGTTTCTAGTCCTGAGATTTAACCACTATGCCACATCAACCCCTTTCATCCTCAGCTTAAACTGTCGAATGAATTATTCATTTTCAGACCTTCACAGCTCTCATGCCATTCCTCATGAGTGTCAGTGTGAAGACACTTATGCGTCAAGCTGATTTACATCAGAGCGCTTCTGCTAAGCATGGCAAACTTTGTGTCCTGTGTGATTCAACACAATGGGAAAGTTTGACACCAGCTTGTGATTCCGAGGGTTGGAAGACCTTGCAGTTCCAGCTCTTCAAATGCATGGCCGGCAAAATGTTTGCCCTCAGCTGGAGTCTCAGTGTGTTTATGAAAATAATCAAATCGAGCCTTCATATTTATCCAGTCTGATGTATTTCCGCTCTGCTTGTCTATGTGGTCCCATTTCACATCTAATAGACATAGCAGTCAGCTCTGAGAGGCCATGGGTTCAGGAAATGAACAGCTCTTTTGGCTTACCCCATATGGATTGAGTAAAAGCATCTGACCTTCTGCTTTTCATGTGATAAAATGTAGAGCCAAAATAATATGCACTATAATAATGCACTACAAAATAGACCACAAAAGAGGTTCCACCATGATTCTTGATAAGACGAGTCAGGCATGTTGTGGGTTAAAATCCAGGAATAGGCAAAGCTTCCAGACTGACACTGCAGACATCTAGAAATTTAAAATTTGTTTCTTGCACAAGACTTCCAAAATCTTGTGAGCTGCCAATATAGGCAGCTGTTTAAGGCATCGTAGCTACTCAGGACAAAATGACTGTTCCCAGAGATTAAAAGCATGATTTCTCTGCATTTTAAGATGCCTTCTTTTGACCAAATTCTTAAGCAGCATTGCATTTATTTTTCACAAAGAAGGCAATCCCAGAATGCACTGCAAGGAACACCTATCCCCAATGGCAAACAAACCAAACTCTGCTGTAACTTGAGACTTCTAGAGTGTTCCAAAATGGTCCTTTACGAGGTTCTGGTAGAATGCTGAAAGCCTGGCTGAAAATATCACTGGATGGAATCATAATCTGAAGCTAAAAAAAAAATGTTTGTGGCTATCATACACTACACAGTTTTCTATATGACGTCTGTCAACTCGTCTCTTACTGCCCAAAATCTGCAGACTGGCTCTGATTTTTGGCAAATAGCATTGACTTGTCCAGGCTGCAAATTAGGCCAAGTGTTGTGTAAGTGTAAGCAGGGTTGCAAAAAAATTCCAGAAATTGTGTTGGTAACTGATAGCAAGGCAACTCACTAGGTTTACCCCTCATACATAAGATAAAAGAGTTGTTGTCTTAGTTTTACTGGATGCTTTCATGCACCCTGATGAAATGGTCATTGCTTAAGTAATGGCGGCAAAAAAGCACCACAGTGCAACTTGGCTTGTTCTTTATGGGGCCACTTGTGCCTCAAGTGACGGCTTCCTCTTCTAAAGTGATATGTTTGCAGCAATGGCTGTCAGTGAGAACTTCACTAAGACAAAATTCTGGAAGGAGATTTACATCTGGGACGTCTGAAGCATTTGAGGGGGGTGTTCGAAGACAGGCCTGTTACTCACCTGGGAGAGGTCTTGCTTTGATTTCGGCATGTCCTAACGTAATACATCCACCCCAGACAAGTAGCATTTTCATTTGTCATACTTCTGTAAACATCAGACCATACGAGGGTGTCTGTGCCCAGAGGACACTGTTTTTTGTTGTTGTCTGAGCTTGTACTGAAAAGAATATATCTCCCCCTTATTGCCCTATGTGTCTTTTTTTATTCGCCTCATGAAACCTTGTTAATTTCAGACTTTAGTCTCTAATTGTGCCACTGCTTGAGCAATACGAGGCACTTTTACAAGCCTTTGGTTTGTTGGCGATCTCACATCTACCGGGGTTTTCATTTTCCATTCTCTTTATGACCACACATGGCCTCAAGTGGGGAATGATGAAAGTGTAACTGTGTGCTCTGGTACCAAATTAAGCCGATAAAAGTTATCGAGCGGCTTCTTTATTTGGCCGTAGCCTGCATCTTTCCCAAAAGTATTGTTCTTTAGTTGTCAAAAGTTGCTTTTTCCACCATTCTCTTTAAAGTTTTCTGTTTGTATCCCACTCAGGTTTTCAGTGTTGCATCATGCAGCTCTCACGGGCACTACGGAGTTGCTCTCTCTGCTGTTGGAAGCTCAGGCTGTTGTGGACATCAAGGATAGCAATGGTTAGAACTGCCTCCTCATTACCTTCAGCTCTGCATTGAGTAAAACTATCAACTGGTTGTGATTTACTTGCATATTAATCCAAGACCTCAGTCTTTCTTTCTGTTTTCTTTCTTTCTGCACTCAAAAAAAAAAAGAAAAAGAAAATTCGGTCATCATTTACTCATCACCGTCAACTGCTTTGAATTAAATTCCTAAGCAATTTCTTAATTTAAATGCATTGGTATTGAGGTAGTAAACAGGATGCAGAATAATATGAATTTAAACGTGTTATCATATACCCAACATAGAGAGTATTTCTTGAAACATAAGATGGCATTCATTTGCATTCTAACTCATGCATTGAAATGGAGCCAATGCTTACATTTTGTTCAGTCTTGTACAGCACTTGCATAACTCTGCGTCAGAGATTTAATTAATGTTTTGCTCTGCAGGCATGCGGCCGCTGCATTACGCAGCATGGCAGGGTAAAGCTGACTCGGTGCTCATGCTGCTGAGATCAGGGGCTGCCGTTAACAACGCGTCTCACGACGGGCAGATTCCACTGCACCTGGCTGCTCAGTACGGACACTATGAGGTGGTGCGTATCCATTAGATCTGTGGTTCCCAATCATGTTCCTGGAGCTTCCCCAGCACTGCACATTTTGCATGTTTCCTTAATCAAACACACCTGATTCAACTCATCAGCTAATTGTAGAGACTCTGAAATGGGTGTGTCAGACAAAGGGGACATGCAAAATGTGAACCAGTGCGTTAGACCAGTGGTTCCCAACCCTGGTCCTGGAGGCACCCCAACACTGCATGTTTTGCATGTCTTCTTAATCAAACACACCTGATTCAGATCATCAGCTCATTAGTAGAGACTCCAAGACCTGACACTGGTGTGTCAGAGAAAGGAGACATGCAAAATGTGCTGTGTTGGGGTGCCTCCAGGACCAGGGTTGGGAACCATTGCATTAGACCAAACTCAGATGCTTCAAAACAGATTGCTGTGAACAAACATGTCACAAATGCTCCTGAACAAAGAGCAAAGCAGTTTAGCACTGTGGCTTAAATGGGCCGGTTTGAAAATGTTGTTCCAAAAGCACCCTGGGGAGACTAGCCAGTCCACTCCTGTTTGAGAAAGTGTTGTTCCATACATCACCTGTGAATCATCGGACATAACCTCATTGAAATGCAAAGAAATATGATATATGCATTGCAACATTAACAAGTGACCCCAGTGATGGATCAGAGATAATCTAATTATTTTCAGTCTCATGTCACATATATGTGAGCCTGGAGCACAAAAGCAGTCTTAAATCGCTGGGGTATATTTGTAGCAATAGCCAACAGTATGGGTCAAAATTATAGATTTTCATTTTATGCCAAAAATCATTAGGATATTAAGTAAAGATCATGTTCCATGAAGATATTTTGTAAATGTCCTACTGTAAATATATCAAAACTTTATTTTTGATTAGTAATATGCATTGCCAAGAACTTCATTTGGACAACTTTAAAGATGATTTTTTCAATATTCAGATTTTTTTGCACCCTCAGATTCCAGATATTCAAATAGTTGTATCTCGGCCAAATATCTGATCCTAACAAACCATACATCAATGGAAAGCTTATTTATTCAGCTTTCAGATGATGTATAACTCTCAATTTAGAAAAATTTACCCTTATGACTGGTTTTGTGCTCCATTGACAAACAAAGTTGGTATAAAAACATAATTCTTCAATTCTTTCTCTCTCTCTCTCTCTCTCTCTCTCTCTCTCTCTGTTTATCAGTCTGAGATGTTGTTGCAGCACCAGTCGAACCCGTGCATTCTAAATAAGGCTAAGAAGACTCCTCTGGATCTGGCCTGTGAGTTTGGCCGAGTGAAGGTCAGTGAGCTCATCTCTGTAGGGACTTATCAGTGTTTCAGTACGAGTGTGTTTGTGCTCATTCTTCATGTGGGATGTCATTCGTTGCATCACTGTCACTATGGTTACAGTGATCTCATAAATTACATCTGATGTGTGGGTAATCTCACAAAATCTGACAAGAACATGTCCAGGTCATATCCAAAATTCTCATCTCTCTCTCTTCTGCCCTGACTGTGATTTGTTTTCCCGTCTGTCTTTGTGTGTCATTCATTTACCGAGTGAATGAGAGCTCAGATTTCAGTAGCTGCTTTGTTTTACGTGTTCTCGCGCACACATGCCCAGTGGTGTGTGATTTCACTTCAGCTGTGTATTTAGGCCTTTTCGAGGTGTTACTTTAATGGCAGTGTGCGTATGTGTGGTATTTCATCAGCTGCTGTATTGAGGTATCAGGGTGCGGCTGAAGCAACTGGATAATGTCTTTCTTTCTCACCCTGCTGACGTGCAAGAAATCCACTCAGTACTGCCTGCTTAGGGTGTGCCTTTAAAATGCACACCAGTCTTCAGCATGATCTACGATTGCTTTCAATACACGCGAGTCATCATGTTTATGATTACAGATAGAAAAATCTCTTTTCTAAAGACATTCTATCCACCATTAGATAGAGTGGCAGACGTCACGACCTTGGCTTGCCTCACAACGTTTGGCTGCTGCAAAACATTTTTCCTTTTTGCATAAAGTTGATCTTTTTGTCTGCTCTCACTGTTTGCTTCGCTTCACAAACCCCAGTGCAAGTCTGACACTCGCCTTCCAAACTGTAGCAAATGAATTGAAGCGTCTACTCAGCTTTACTGACTCTACACCAGTGGGGACACACCATGTGGCCCAGATGTTTTCGGGTGTTAATGGTCGCTGGGACACATTAGTATGACCTCATGCTCACCTGTGAGGCCTCTGAGAGCCAACACTCACCTTCCCAAGAGCCCTCTGTGTGTGTGTGGATGATTTCATAACTCTCTCGTCTTCCCACCTTTTCCTTTTCAGTCTCAACACTTTAATTCAATAATCTTGCTCTCAGTTCAGGTCAGTGTTTGTAGCCTACCTGTGTACCATTTGTGACCCTGGAGCACAAAAGCAGTGTTAAGTGGCTGGGGGATATTTGTAGCAATAGCCAACAATACATTGTATGGGTCAAAATTATAAATTTTTCTTCTATGCCAAAAATCATTAGGATATTAAGTAAAGATCATGTTCCATGAAGATATTTAGTAAATGTCCTACTGTAAATATATTAAAACGTCATTTTTGATTAGTAATATGCATTGCTAAGAACTTCATTTGGACAACTTTAAAGGCGATTTTCTCAATATTTCGATTTTTTTGCACCCTCAGATTCCAGATTTTCAAATAGTTGTATCTGGACTCCCGCAAAATAGAAATATCTAGACATAAAATATCTAAAACAAATACATTGTTATTCATCTATTGCACAAAAGCAACATGAACTAATATAAAATATAAACAGGTGCAAGCGTACGCAGAGTTTCTATTTAGGCTATAACACGTGTTTGCAGCGTTGAGCAATGCAGTGCTGAAATGTGCGTGCTCACAAATCCTCTCATTATAACACACACGAATTGTAGACATTATGAAAGATTCATTATGCATATATTTATTGTGTTATAACAGATATTTGTGAGATTGCGATGAACTGAGATGTCTTTTAGAGATGATAAATGCAGCGCTCTTTGCTGGTATTCTGCCAAACCATGGCGTGCCGCTTGCTTTCGTTAAAGATAACAGTGTTCTGTGAATGTTGATGCTTTAATAACAAATATTTAACGGGAGCGTGTATATGCAGGGATTTCATACATTTCATGGAGAAAAAAGTAACGTAACTAGTAATGTAACTAATTACTTTTGAAATAAAGTCATCAGAACAGTAACGTGATTACTTTTATAAGAAGTAATCAGTAATTTGATTACATTTTCAGAGTAACTTGCCCAACACTGGGTGCAAAACAGTGTTATTTTAGAATTATTTATATACTGTAATACTATTTGAATTGGCTTTTATTTTAATTTTAGTTTAAGTTTTAGTAATTTTGTTATGTGCTTTCGTAATGCTTTTTATATATATATTTCTTCTCCAATTCATTTTTATTTCAGTTTTAGCTTTAGTCACTTTAGTACTACACATTACTCATTTCAATTAAGGCATCGTTTCTAATGTTTAAGTTCTAATATTCAATCGAATATTTATGTTTTTATTCGATTTCAATTACTGAAACACAGATTTTTCATAGTTTTAGCTAACAATAACAACACTGGTGCAAAATATGCCAATGATCTCTTTCTCTTTTGTAGGTGGCGCAGCTGTTGTTGAGCAGTAATATGGTTGCCTCTCTGTTAGAGGGAGATCGGAGAGACGGGTCAGACTCAAACTGTAACACTCCTCTGCACCTCGCCGCACGCAACGGACACAAGGACGTCATCCGGTGAGCTCTTGAAAACCTCTTGTGTGTGTAGCACATCTGTAGGCATCAGTCTCAGCTGTGACGCGCTGTCCTGTCTCTCTGGAGAGATGCGTGTGCCTCGGCTCTGCTGTGTATTTCCACTTCGTTTGATTCTCCAGCTCCAAGGTGTTTTCCACAGATGTTAGTACCGAAACACTGCTGATATAATGTAATAAATTGTGATTGGATGACCCACATTCGAAACCGATATGCACACCTGTGAATCCGCTGAATTCTGTATTGATGCGCCAAGTTGCATTGCTCATTCTTCAGATGAATGCAAAGAACAATAATACACCTCTGTGAGCCCATATAATGAAAGTGAATTTGAACTCCTTAAAAGCACATATGGTCATCATGATAATCCATTCAGCCTCGGTGTATAAATCAAGCCAGTCAAATCAGTGAAGCAATGGGTGTTTGTAAGAAAAATACAAATACTGAATGGAAGAAGACAGACAGCCGCAGCAGAGAGAAGAGATGAAAATTTGAATTTAACGACTTAAATATTCACCTCACGTAAAACTATGGAACGGCTTCAGAAGACTTGGAATATAGTGCATGAAAACTTGTGTCATTTTGAAAAAATTCATTTGTATAGAAGCCCATTTCTGCCACATAAGAAAGAAAATTCTTTGGTAAATCATAATGTTGAGATAAAAAGTCATAATTATGACATTAAAAGTCGAACTTTTGTGTTGTCAATATGGCTTTTTATGTCATATTTCTGACGTTTTGTCATAAATCACGCTTTGGTAAATCATCATTTTTTTATGAGGCTTCCATAGACATTCTCAACTTGTATGGTAAAAAATATTTCATAAATATTTAAATTAAAGATAAATGTTATATAATATCATGGCAGTATTTATTATATTGCATTTTAGTTAGGCTAATTTCAGTATTGTATCAAAGTAATGATAGTGTAATGAAAATGTTTGCATTATCATCAAAATAATGGCACCATGCCAAAAAGTAAAATAGAATGTGGAGATAATTTTCACATTTGTGCAGTGTGATTCATTTTTAGACCTGTGTGTGTGTGTGTGTGCGTGTGTGTTTCCTACGGCCGTCACACTAACAGATCCCATCCTAATGCCTGGCATTTCCAGTGCAGCACTGAAATTCCATCCAGCATTCCAACAAATGAGCATCTCTGATTCCAGCTGGTGTGTGTGTGTGTGTGTGTGTGTGTGTGTGTGTGTGTGTGTGTGTGAATTCCACAAGTCTGTGTGTATTACAGGCCCTTCAGTATGTAAATATAACACAGAATGCTAAAGAGGATGTCATCTCCTCTCTGTGGAGTAGTAGTAGGCTACTGACAACAGTCCATTCATTGAGTTTCCATCTCTCTCTGTCTTCAGGCTTCTTCTGAAAGCAGGTATTGACATCAACAGAACCACTAAAGCTGGCACAGCGCTCCATGAGGCCGCCCTCTATGGGAAGACAGAGGTAGTGCGGCTACTCCTGGATGTAAGTTCATCTGGTTTTTGGAGACAACTCTACTACAGGGGTCGCCAACCTTTCTGACAATAAAGTGGCTTTTTACTAATATGTTTATGTCCCTTTTCCACACTGACTGTGCTTCTGCTAATGAACAGACAGCATTTACCCATCCTAATGTTTGTTTCATATGACGGCAGAATGGGATTGATGTCAATATCCGTAACACTTACAATCAAACAGCCCTGGACATCGTCAACCAGTTCACCGCATGCCACGCCAGCAAAGACATTAAGCAGCTCTTACGAGGTGAGATGCAATCTGACATTTATTTATAAACTTTTTATAAAATTATAAACTCAGGATTATATAACCTGCTGCTTTCTCTGGCTAGTTTTGAGCACATGAAAAAGACAAAAGACATCTCCTGTGTGTGTTTGTGCAGATGCATACCACAAATCTGTGGGGCCCTCCTATGAAACATAAGACGGGGCTCCACCCACAAGTACTGACGTCATATGTGAACATTTCTATCAGAATGAAATGTTAACAATGACAATCATGTTATTTTGGGCAATTTAGCTTTCTGTTTAGTACCCTTTATTAATTCCCTTTGTAAATGTGGCCTTTAAGAATGCACCTTTTTTAACGGTATCATGCATGATTCCTGCAGGCATACTTTTTAAAATGTAAACTGTGCTTCACACAAAATCCACGAGGTGATGCATGGGCTTGCTTGGGTTGTGTTATGAACTGTGTACTTACACAATTCAGAATGCAACTAGTGGAATCAACTTTACTTCCACAAAAGCCAAATGAACTCTGAAGTCTAGTGTCAACAGACTCAGTCCACACTAAAAGCTCTTAGTCTTTGTAAACACACTATATATATATATCAGTGACGCATGTCCTGGACATTAATGAGTGGGAATGTGAAACATTTCATGTGTGATCTTAATGCATTCTGTAACATCTGCAATATTTATTGCCGTTTTGTACGGGTGGATATACTGTAAATAAATATTTGAAGTGACTGTTGATATGAGACACTCATTCTGTTTGTGTCTTTGAACTCAGGCAGTAAACAGACAGCTCTTATCACAATGAGCACAGACAGGCCCGTCTGCTTTAACCAGCGCCGCTCTGTGTGTGTATGTGGGCCACCACGCTTCCATAAACCTCTGGCAGACTTGGAGAGTTAATTATTGATTCAGTGAGTCTGCTGTGTGTCCGTGTGCCAGCACATTCCTTCCACTGGAATAAAATCACAGAAATGACACGCTGGGACATTTTCAGTGTCCCCGTAATTCAAAAGGCTTATAAATAATTCAGAATGAGTTTTTTTGAAAATCTAAAAATGCAGAAAGTTTCCTGTGAGGGGTAGGTTTAGGGGTAGGGTTGGTGTAGGGCAATAGAATATACGGTCTGTACAGTATAAAAACCATTACGCCTATGGAGAGTCCCCATAAACCATAAAAACAAACCTGTGTGTGTGTGTGTGTGCGTGTGTGTTTCCTACGGCCGTCACACTAACAGATCCCATCCTAATGCCTGGCATTTCCAGTGCAGCACTGAAATTCCATCCAGCATTCCAACAAATGAGCATCTCTGATTCCAGCTGGTGTGTGTGTGTGTGTGTGTGTGTGTGTGTGTGTGTGTGTGTGTGTGAATTCCACAAGTCTGTGTGTATTACAGGCCCTTCAGTATGTAAATATAACACAGAATGCTAAAGAGGATGTCATCTCCTCTCTGTGGAGTAGTAGTAGGCTACTGACAACAGTCCATTCATTGAGTTTCCATCTCTCTCTGTCTTCAGGCTTCTTCTGAAAGCAGGTATTGACATCAACAGAACCACTAAAGCTGGCACAGCGCTCCATGAGGCCGCCCTCTATGGGAAGACAGAGGTAGTGCGGCTACTCCTGGATGTAAGTTCATCTGGTTTTTGGAGACAACTCTACTACAGGGGTCGCCAACCTTTCTGACAATAAAGTGGCTTTTTACTAATATGTTTATGTCCCTTTTCCACACTGACTGTGCTTCTGCTAATGAACAGACAGCATTTACCCATCCTAATGTTTGTTTCATATGACGGCAGAATGGGATTGATGAACTCTACTACAGGGGTCGCCAACCTTTCTGACAATAAAGTGGCTTTTTACTAATATGTTTATGTCCCTTTTCCACACTGACTGTGCTTCTGCTAATGAACAGACAGCATTTACCCATCCTAATGTTTGTTTCATATGACGGCAGAATGGGATTGATGTCAATATCCGTAACACTTACAATCAAACAGCCCTGGACATCGTCAACCAGTTCACCGCATGCCACGCCAGCAAAGACATTAAGCAGCTCTTACGAGGTGAGATGCAATCTGACATGTATTTTAAGACTGTACTGACTGTATTTGATCTCCTTAAGCTGTCTTGTGAACTGTAGTGTGTGTATTTGTGTCTAACAGTGTGTATGTGGAGTGTGTTTGTGTTCATGCTGCATATACACACAGTATATGGGAGTGTGTACATGGTGAAGTTTGTTTGTGTGTGTGTTTGGGAATGACCAAACGTTTAAACTAAGGATTATATAACCTGCTGCTTTCTCTGGCTAGTTCTGAGTGCATGAAAGAGACAAAAGACATCTCCTGTGTGTGTGTTTGTGTGCAGATGCATACCACAAATCTGTGGGGCCCTCCTATGAAACATAAGACGGGGCCCCACCCACAAGTGCTGATGTCATATGTGAACATTGGTATCAGGATGAAATTGTAACAGTGACAATAATGTTATTTTGGGCAATTTAGCCTTCTGTTTAGTACTCTTTACTAATTCTCTTTATAGCTGTGGCCTTTAAGAATGCACTCATGTTAACGGTATCATGCGTGATTCCTGCAGGCATGCTTCTTAAAATTTAAACTGTGGTTCACACAAAATCCACCAGGCGATGCATGGGATGCATGGGCTTGCTTGGGTTACGTTATGAAGTGTGTTCTGACACAATTTTCACAATGCAACTTGTGGAATTAACTTTACTGAACTACACAAAAAACAAATGAACTCTGAAGTCTAGCGTCAAACAAAAAGTCTTTGAAAGCTCTCTCTCTCTCTCTCTCTCTCTATATATATATGTTAATGTGACACATGTCCCTGACATTAATGAGTGGGAATGTGCAACTTTTGACATGATCTTCATGCATTCTGTAACATCTGCAGTATTTAATGCCGTTTTGTACAGGTGGATATAAATGAATATTTGAAGTGAATGTCATGTCGTCTTTGAACTCAGGCAGTAAACAGACAGCTCTTATCACAATGAGCACAGACAGGCCCGTCTGCTTTAACCAGCGCCGCTCTGTGTGTGTATGTGGGCCACCACGCTTCCATAAACCTCTGGCAGACTTGGAGAGTTAATTATTTGTGTGTGTGTTTGTGTGCAGATGCATACCACAAATCTGTGGGGCCCTCCTATGAAACATAAGACGGGGCCCCACCCACAAGTGCTGATGTCATATGTGAACATTGGTATCAGGATGAAATTGTAACAGTGACAATAATGTTATTTTGGGCAATTTAGCCTTCTGTTTAGTACTCTTTACTAATTCTCTTTATAGCTGTGGCCTTTAAGAATGCACTCATGTTAACGGTATCATGCGTGATTCCTGCAGGCATGCTTCTTAAAATTTAAACTGTGGTTCACACAAAATCCACCAGGCGATGCATGGGATGCATGGGCTTGCTTGGGTTACGTTATGAAGTGTGTTCTGACACAATTTTCACAATGCAACTTGTGGAATTAACTTTACTGAACTACACAAAAAACAAATGAACTCTGAAGTCTAGCGTCAAACAAAAAGTCTTTGAAAGCTCTCTCTCTCTCTCTATATATATATATGTTAATGTGACACATGTCCCTGACATTAATGAGTGGGAATGTGCAACTTTTGACATGATCTTCATGCATTCTGTAACATCTGCAGTATTTATTGCCGTTTTGTACAGGTGGATATAAATGAATATTTGAAGTGAATGTCATGTCGTCTTTGAACTCAGGCAGTAAACAGACAGCTCTTATCACAATGAGCACAGACAGGCCCGTCTGCTTTAACCAGCGCCGCTCTGTGTGTGTATGTGGGCCACCACGCTTCCATAAACCTCTGGCAGACTTGGAGAGTTAATTATTGATTCAGTGAGTCTGCTGTGTGTCCGTGTGCCAGCACATTCCTTCCACTGGAATAAAATCACAGAAATGACACGCTGGAGAGGTTCAGATGGCGGGACCTCACTAAACTATTTTTAGGAACATTAAAGGGATAGTTCACCCAAAAATGAAAATTCTGTCATTAGTTGCTCATGTCGTTCCAAACCCGTAAGACCTCCGTTCATCTTCGGCTCTCTGACCCTCCCATAGACAGCAAGGGTACTACCACGATCAACGTCCAGAAACGTAGCAAGGACATCAGTAAAATAATCCATGTGACATCAGGGGTTCAACCGTAATTTTACGAAGCTATGAGAGTACTTATTGTGCGAAAAAAAAAAAAAACTTTATTCAACAATTCGTCTCCTTCGCGTCACCCTAGCGCCATTTTGGAGAGTATCCACTGAACGCAAACAGCGTATGTTGTTCTATGTCAGCTGCGTCACACGGATACGTTGTTTTACGTTCAAATCAAAGCACAAACAACGTAGAAAACGTATCCGCGTGACGCAGCTGACATAGAATAGCATACGCTGTTTGTGTTCAGTGGATACTCTCCAAAACAGCACCAGGGTGATGCAGATGGGACGAATTGTTGAATAAAGTTGTTGTTTTTTTTCTTTTGTGCACAAAAAGTATTCTCGTAGCTTCGTAAAATTATGATTGAACCCCTGATGTCACATGGATTATTTTAACGATGTCCTTGCTACATTTCTGGATGTTGATCGTGGTAGTACCCTTGCTGTCAATGGGAGGGTCAGAGAGCTCTCAGATTCCATCAAAAATATCTTAATTTGTGTTCCGAAGATGAACGAAGATCTTACGGGTTTGGAACGACATGAGGGTAAATAATTAATGACAGAATTTTCATTTTTGGGTGAACTGTCCCTTTAAGCTATTAATATTCTTGCATTTGCATGTTTATAACAATTTTCTCAAACAAATCCTCATAAATAAAAAATATAATGGGGAAAAGTACTTAAAAAAATAATTAAGAAAATCAAGCACTATACATTACAGTAATAGTTATATAATTTAATATTATAATTTTGTGTCTACATTTTTTTTTTTATTAATTTGTTTATGTTTTTTATGTTTTTGGACAGTTTCATGAGATTTAGCAATGTATTGTAATGTACAGTATATGGTATCTAACTCTCTGAACTGTGAATTTCTGGTGTTTTGATTCAACAGATATCTGTGTGTGTGTTTTCAGAAGCTACAGGAGTTCTTCAGGTCAGAGCTCTGAAAGACTTCTGGAATCTTCACGACCCCACGGCCCTCACCATACGCGCCGGTGACGTCATCACGGTACGACCGCTTACCTGACTTCATTAAAGCTCTTCACAGTCAATGTGTGTGTGTTTCTCTTAAGTACTACACCAAACCCCTGTGTACCTAGCCAGTCTATTCAACTAATGTTTCAGAAGCAGTTTCGCTTGAACCGAGGCCAGATTTTTCTCTCTCTTTCTCCTTCCACGAGTTCTTTCTGTTCATCGCCTTGGTTTTTTGAGGGCGCTAAAGATACACTCACAAGTGTTTATTTGTGAACTCGAACCAAAATACATTTTCACACAGCATTGTTTCAAAGGAAATTGTGGGCAGAGTATAAGTACAGTTTAAAGGTCGTTTACTGGTGGGTTTAGAGATGTATTTCATGAGCTGAATGTTCTCGCTGCTGTTTTGTTGTTGGGCCTGAAGCTATTATATGCGTGTTTGCTTAGGGTGGGCGGCTGGGGTTATGTTATCTAACTTTCAAAAGCTTTCAGATCATGCATTGTCTCTGAATTCCCGACCTCCTCCTCTGTTTTGACTGGTTGTCAAGGACGGGAAAAACTGTTGGATTAAAATCCAGCGGGTTGGGTTTGCAGCAGTTTTGGGTGAGATCACTGTGATGGCAATGCTGTGTTGTGATTGGCAGGTGATAGAGCAGCATGTGGATGGACGCTGGAAGGGCCACATTCATGACACCCAGAGGGGAACAGACCGAATTGGCTACTTCCCCCCCTCCATAGTTGAGGTCATCAGCCGACGCTCAGGTACAATAATCACCTGAATTTTAGCAGGTTGACCAAATTTTTGAAGCTTCACAGGCCGTGGTCATTATATGTTTTTGTTTGATGGATTTTATTACAGCCATTAACCCTGCCAATAACATTGTTTCCTTTACTGAATCAGTAACAGGCTGACAGATGTAATCTAGACTTGTCTATGTCTTCCATCCCACTGCTTCCCATGTAATAAATGTTAATCTCTAACCTCCATCCGCTTGCATTAAAGGAACACTCCACTATTTTTGAAAATAGGCTCATTTTCCAACTCCCCTAGAGTTAAACAGTTGAGTTTTACCGTTTTTGAATCCATTCAGCCGATCTCCGGGTCTGGCGGTAGCTTTTTTAGCTTAGCTTAGCATAGCTCATTGAATCTGATTAGACCGTTAGCATCTCGCTCAAAAATGACCAAAGAGTTTCTATATTTTTCCTATTTAAAACTTGACTCTTCTGTAGTTACATCGTGTACTAAGACCGACGGAAAATGAAAAGTTGTGATTTTCTAGGCCGATATGGCTAGGAACTATACTCTCATTCCGGCGTAATAATCAAGGAACTTTGCTGCCGTACCATGAGGGCAGCAGACACAATGATATTACGCAGCGCCACTGAATGATCTTATGTTACAAGTAATTGGGAAAGGAAGCAAATGGAAAGGTTTGGTCAGTAGGCTATTCAAATGCATTCAACCATATGAGCTTCTACACTACAAAAGCAATCAGTTTAAATGCTTTTTTGACTACCTCTGGAAGTGGTTGAATGTGGATAAGCTCAAAACATTTTAGACCCCATTTACACTTGTATTTAACATTGTCCAGTTGTGATTGGATCGACAAAAAAAATCTTAAGACCATGTGCAAACAAGGCCTAAAGCTATTGATGCGAAACTGAGTCTGTTTGACATCAGAGATCAGTTGGTCTGAAATCACTTTTCTGAACTCTCTAGCACACCAGTGAATGGGTACACGTGTGTCCTCGCTACACATGGTCTGGTACATTTCACAATGGGTATGAACGCAATAGGTATGATTATAATGTAAATAAAAACTACTGTAGGCTTTCCAGAGTGAAACAGGATAAGACAAGAACCCGGTTTTGATATTATATTATATCATTAGTCATCGACAGTCATTGGCAGTTGGGGCAAATGGTTGATTATGGACCCTAGGTGGGCCATTGGTTCTTCGGTACGACAGAAAATAGAAACACTGTCTTTGCATATAAACACCATGCAGTGGCACACACTCATCTGAAGCCCTGGGACGCACACACCCTTATTTCCCGCCCACAAGACTGAGGTCAGTGGCCCAAAAAGTGTTTGTGTCCGCTAGGTGGGCCTCCCAGCAGTCTGTCCCAGCACATGACCCCCAGCTTGGAGGACGTGTGGGTTTTGCGGAACTCCTGTGCTGGTAAGAACCGCTGCACTCCGCTCCTCTGAAACGCTCCTCCCCTGTGCCCCCTACTGGCTGTCACCCCCTCCCTGCTGCAGACAGACCCTCTGATTGGCTGGCCTGTCAATGGTCTTTAGCGTCCCTGTTAGCACACCTGCCTCCCATTCCAGAAACGCTGGCTCCAATCCCACTTGGAGCGGGGTGAGTAGAACCGGAGGGGTTACATTGGTGCCATGACCCGGATGGGAGTGAGGTTTAAGGGGGTGAGTATAACGGACACCAGCTTGTAAGAGCTCTGCATGTAGAACTCACTCCCCTGATCTCAAGTGGCACACTACAGGCTGAACTCTTTAGCATTCTTGCTAACGTGCCTGACTCCCATGCCGGAAATGCCAGCTTGAATCCCGCTCGGAGCAGGGCAAGTAGAACCAGAGGGGTTACATTACTTGAAAATGTTTGTTGGATAAATATTGGTCTTGTGTACAGCAAAACCTGCTTTCACACTAAAGCAAGCCAAACTAAAGCAAGCGTAATATGTAAGAAAATTATTCTTTTGAATTGGTTCTTTTAAATGAATAGGTTGTACTTGTTCACACTGGTTCGAATGATTAATTATTAGAACAGAATTTGAATGATTGTTTAAAAACCCTTATCTAGTGGTCATTAACAATAGACAAAGCCACGAAAAATTGATGACACATGGGTCAAAAAGTGTGGAAACCCTATATACACTTCACCCTCCATCCATCTTGTAACATTTATTTATTTAACACTTTATAGTGTATGATAGATTTAAAGCAAGCAGCTTTAGTATTTAACATGAAAAAAACAGTGTCAGTGTCACTTTCAGTTAGAGTTACAACTTGACTTTCTGCTAGGCCATGACCTTGACAAGGACATTTTCATTTTTATTCCTCTGGGCTGATTCTGAGTAGTCCCGCCCACATTTAAATCTGATTTATGATTAAATATGACTTTTCCAAATGACTGTATATTCAGTGTCAAATATGGCCTGAGACTGTGTAGGTCACGCAACATTAAATGTATGTATGTTTATGTATATTTATATGTATATATATATACTGTGAAGTATATCCTGTTGTGTTAAATTCATGTGTGACACGTACAGTAAGTGTTCAAGTCAGGTGAATGTGTGTGTGTCTCTAACAGGCCATCAGAAGAAAATTATGCTTGCAGTGAAGAAGTTGTGTGATATTCATAAGGCTCTTCTGCAGGCAGAATCGGGGCAGGGCACACTGTGGCGCAAAACCCCCGCAGCCCTGGACTTGGTCACTATTGAGCCACCTCCTGAGAGCCCCGACCTCCCCTCGCCCCACACGCCCAAGATGATGACTTTCCAGGACAGTGAGCTAAGTACTGAGTTACAGAGCGCCATGTCCTCCCACTATAGTGGCTGTCAGGAAGGGCTGGCCATCAAGAACGCAGTAGGAATGTCTTCCAGTCAGGAGAGCATTGACACACGCTCTCGAGGCTCCGGACGCTCTCAGGAGCCCCCCAGCACACCGTCCTCCACTTCTGCTGCGACCCCTTATAGCGGCTCCCGAGAGAGTTTAACCAGCCCAGACAGCAGTCCTGTTAAAGAGCGTAACATTCCAGAAGGTCGTGACCAGGTCCCACGTCCTCAGCTACCACAGCAGCTGCCATTCAGTGCGTCCACAGGCTTTAAATACCCCACGGTGCCTGCCAAACCCAAACTGAGCTCTGCTCCTTCTCCACAAGGCTCTCCTGCTCACAAAACCCTTAATTATCCACGTTCACAATATAACAGTGCCACGCTTGACCGTCACTCTCCTAATGTGACTAAGAAGCGCACACAGAGTCTGTCCCGGTATGCTTTGTCGGATGGTGAACCAGATGAAGAGGATGATGAAGCAGCTCATCTAGCCAGCATGGCCATGCCTTCGTATGCCACTCTGAGCCGCAAGCCTACCCGTGGCCAGCTGGCACGGCTTCAGTCTGCCCCCGAGCAGTCCGTCAGCCGAAGCCACTCTTTTGTCATTAAGGCTCGACGTAAAGGGCCTCCTCCACCACCACCTAAACGCCTTAGCTCCGTCAGCAGCAGCAGCAGCACTAGTGTTGAAACTGTCTCTGACACTCCAGCATCACCTTCTGGAGGAGCTGAGAACGGCAGATCCGGGACCGTAAAGAGTATTGCAGCTGCATTAGAAACAGTTCTACCTGTGCCTACGGTGGAGCTCCTTCCGAAAACCACTACAGCTGTTTCCAGTACCAACGAAGGGTCCAGACACAGACCTCTGAGTCAGAGTGAATCCAGCCCAGTACCCTCCAAAGCAGATACTGATAGAGCGACAAAGTCTGACTCAGAAGAGGAGGATGCAACAAAGGATTCAGGCCTGGAGAGCTCATCCTCGCCTCAGAACAGCTCTAATGAGTGCATCCCTTTTGCAGAGGAAGGCAACCTCACTATCAAACAGAGGCCCAAAGTTGGCGGGCCTCTGAAGGCGGAGACCACTTCTGAGTTGCCAGAGAAAGCCAAACCAGCCAAAACCCCTGAAGTGCCAGAGTTCAACCTTAAAGAGTCAGACACAGTGAAGAGACGACAAAAGCCAAAAGAGAAAGAGCAGCCAAACCCAGCGTCCGACAGCAGTGCAGACGGCGCGTCAGTTTTAGAGACTCAGGGCACGGTGAAGCTCCGCATCAGTGAAACAGATATGAGTCTGCCATCTGTGGAGCTTCCAACCAAACCAGTGAAAGCACCTCCAACTCTTGCTCCCAAACCTCCCAGTCCCCTGAATCCAACACGGCACGCCTCTAAACCAGATCCTGCTCCTATAACAGGTACAGCCTATAGATACGAATAAAGCTTGTCAGCTTTTTTTTTTTTTTGTAGGTTTGACAAATACTGCTCTGATTTATAAATGGTATAATTTGGTAGATTGTCCTTAATACATTAAAGCTATGAGCAGCAACATTTTGCTAGTAAGTTACAGTATATGCAGAGGACTGTAACTTTTGCATTTATTCGTGATTCTTGTTCTGTCTGCAGCTGTCGGCTCTAGCGTGACACTGAGTGTTGTACAGAGTGTCGCCTTTGCAGGACCTCATTCTCCAATCCCAAACTCCCCCTCGCCAGAGAACACGGTTCAGAGTGCGATATCAGGAAGCCTCCAGGCTCTGATGGAAGGGGACCAAGGGTCAACAATGAAACATCAGAGGCTGGAGAAGGCCAGCTCATCCCTGGAGGAAGCACTGAAGGCTGTGGAGAGAAAACTAACTCTGGAGAACAACAACGTGGGGTGAGAGACATTCTCCACCAGCTTCCACACTTACAGGAATAAATCTACAAAAATGATTTTGTTTTTGTTGGGGGATTATCTGAATTTTTCCTTTAAATGGCATGGTTTTAAATAGTCACTAATTTATTTACCCACTGTGTCTCTTTTAGCGTTTCTCCCGTAGTGAAGTCTGCAGGGAACATCCTGGATGACATCGGGAACATGTTTGATGACCTGGCTGATCAGCTAGATGCTATGCTGGATTAAAGATTCTCATGGATGGAGCTGTTTATTTTTTTGATGACCCAGAAACAGGAGGGTAGAGATCTACGTATAGCAGCATGGTTTCGTATCATTCAGATGGAGATCAGAGATGAACTCTTTAACACAAAAGTGGGAACCTCCACTGATCTTCATTTATAAGGACCACACAGATATTTATGGACCAGTCTTCTGACTAATGTCAGTCTAGATGTCATCTATATTTGTTTGTTTATTGTAATTCCAGCGGCTAATCAATCAGCATATATATTTGTTTTTCTTGTCCTGTCATTGTCTTTTTGGGCTGAACTGTGGACTGAACTGTGACCCCAATGAACTTTACATGACGGACCCAGATAAAAGAAATGCACTTAGGAGAATCATTCCTAAAGCAATATAGATTTCAAAACACTACACTGATTCAAAACATTTCTAGAAAGACTAATGGGATAGTTCACCCAAAAAGTGACAATTCTGTCATGATTTACTCACCCTGCCTTGCTGTGAGACTTTTGAATAAACTTTATGCTGCTCTTTTCCATACAGCAATAAGTTATAGTGACCTGCTGTCAAAACAAAATAACACATGATGACAATTTTCATTTTTTGAGTGAACTGTTCCTTCAACATATTTTCAATTTTCAAATTTTCAAAGCATTTTAGCTCTAAACAAGTAGCTTGTGATTTATCCATTTCAGCAGGTAAACATATTTATGGACCAGTCTTCTGACTAATGTCAGTCTAGATGTCATCTATATTTGTTTGTTTATTGTAATTCCAGCGGCTAATCAATCAGCATATATATTTGTTTTTCTTGTCCTGTCATTGTCTTTTTGGGCTGAACTGTGGACTGAACTGTGACCCCAATGAACTTTACATGACGGACCCAGATAAAAGAAATGCACTTAGGAGAATCATTCCTAAAGCAATATAGATTTCAAAACACTACACTGATTCAAAACATTTCTAGAAAGACTAATGGGATAGTTCACCCAAAAAGTGACAATTCTGTCATGATTTACTCACCCTGCCTTGCTGTGAGACTTTTGAATAAACTTTATGCTGCTCTTTTCCATACAGCAATAAGTTATAGTGACCTGCTGTCAAAACAAAATAACACATGATGACAATTTTCATTTTTTGAGTGAACTGTTCCTTCAACATAACTAATTTTCAAGCATTTTAGCTCTAAACAAGTAGCTTGTGATTTATCCATTTCAGCAGGTAAATAGCCTTTGGGAGGTTTGGTGCTTGTACCCTTTTTTTCTTAATGACTTTGCAGATTTGCAGGTTAAAATACATGACTGACATTTATTTTTGTATGAAAGTGTGGTTTTAAAGGGAACGTGATGAAAACAGTAACACTGCCTTAAGTAACTAGAGCAGCATCAATGTACAGCAAGCAATTCAGGTTTGTTACCACAAACTGGTCTTTAAACTTAAATTAGTCCAAATAGTATTTAAACTTGATCAGAATATGTATATTGTACACTAAAGGTATATTTGATTGGGAAGCAAACCTTGTTTGTTGTACCAAAGTATATGTATATTTTTATTCAAATGTTGGATAATGTTAACACTATCAGACTTGTCTTGCAGCTAAACTAATGAAATTTAACCCAGTGGCATTTCCACTTTGCACATAATTTGATATGGTGTATCTGATGTGGAATATTTCCACGCTGTTCTTGTGTGCCATACGTTTAAATAGTTGTTTCATTCAGGTTCTGTCTCCCAATTAGCTGAGATGTAATTAATGGCATTTGTATAACTGAAGGCCGTTTAAACATTTAAAGGGTTATTTCACCCAAAAATGAAAATTAGCCCTTAAATTACTCGCCCTCAAGTCATCCTAGGTGTATATGACTTTCTTCTTTCAGATGAATCCAGTCGAAGTTGCATAAAAAATTGTCTTTGATCTTTCAAGCTGTTTCATGGCACTCAGCAGGTGTTGCATGCTTCAGTCCAAAAGAAGTGAAATAAAAAGCGCCCATCCATAAAAAAGTGTCTCACACGGCTCCGGGGGGTGAACAAAAGCCTTCTGTAGCATATCGATGCGTTTTTTGTAAGAAAGATATCATATTCAAAACGTAATAATCACTTTAATCTAGCTTGCTGAGCGCAAGCTAAATCCGTTTGTAAACGGAAGCAGTTCCGGGCGGATGACGTATGAGGTCGGCTTTGCGCATGCACCGCTCAGAAGTGACGAACGCGGAAAAGCAGCGGAGAGATCAAAACAAAACAACGGTCACTAATTAGAAGTACAAAATGAGGATTTGTAAAGAAGAATGTCGGAGGATTTGGATATAAGCCAAGAGGAGACTGGTTTTCCTTTGCTAAAGTAAGGAAACTTTGCTTCCTTTGATCCTGTTAACAAACGTTGGTTTTCACGAGACTCACCGGCGCATGCGCAGCGCTGAACTTATACGTCATCCTCCCGGAGCTGCTTCTGTGTACAACTGTTAGCGCAAGCTACATTAAAGTGATAATTACGTTTTGAATATGGATATTTTTCTTACAAAAACGCATCGATTCGCTACAGAAGGCCTTTGTTTACCCCCCGGAGCCGTGTGAGACGTTTTGTTTTTTTATGGATGGGCACTTTTTATTTCTCTTCTTTTGGACTGAAGCACTGTAACACCCGCTGACTGCCATTAAACAGCTTCGCTACAGAAGGCCTTTGTTTACCCCCCGGAGCCGTGTGAGACACTTATTTTTATTTATGGATGGGCGCTTTTTATTTAACTTCTTTTGGACTGATGCATGCAACACCCGCTGAGTGCCATTAAACAGCTTGAAAGATCAAAGACAATTTTAATATAACTCCGACTGGATTCATCTGAAAGAAGAAAGTCATATACACCTAGGATGACTTGAGGGTGAGTAATTTATGGGCTAATTTTCATTTTTGGGTGAACTAAACCTTTAACCAGTTTTAGAACTGCAGCGGAGGCCCACTCACTCCAAGGACAATAACTATAACTATAAAGTTTAAATAATCGCTCTAATCATTCTCTGAAGTGCGCACCTATAGTAGTAAACGGAATGTTATCATCCACTAGTGTGGACGTGAATATAGTTATTATAGTTATCATTCTTGGTATGAACGGGCCATTACTTATGTGAATACTATACATTAGTGATATTCTTAAGAAGGTAATATAACACACTGATATGATTGTTTACTATCAAGCCCCTTTTTGTTCTAATCTATTAACATTTTCTATTAAATGAATTTAGCTATTTCGAGACATGTCATTGTCATTTCAGAAACCTCTTGTATCTAATTTGTCCAGACTAGGGTTGCACCAGCCGTTAGTGAGTTCTTAAATTGGAACGTAAAGTCCACACTAGAGCTAATTTGTAACTATTTACTTAATTTTGTTGCACAATTTGTTCTTATGTCAGAACATAGCTAGTAGGTTGTAAGCTCTTCGAAAAGTAGTTGCATAATATAATGTTAACCTTCAATGATCCAACAGTAGCCTGCTGCGCAACAGTCAGGTTCCGGAAGTAAAAACTCCATTCATTTTAACCATAAGGGAAGTGATTTTGAAAGATGATTTATAAACCCTTAAAGACAGACCTACTGTGTGCTATGAGGTTGTTAATCTATGCTATATACTTATTTTGAAGCTATCAACCAACATTAATTCATCAATTCCTTATATAAAGAACCTATTGCTTCAGTCATAACAAATGGGCCAAGTTCATCACCTTTCAAATCGCACAAGGGGAACCGCTATCTCCTTTCACTTTTGCTTCAACCCTTCAGCCTCATATTCGCTTCAGTCCAAATATACGGTACATCTGATAACTTATCAAGGTACAACTACAGTACAAATTCAGGTGTCCGTCAAAATTGACCAGACACCTGAAATGTAACTTTTTTTTTTCAGTGAAATCAATGTAATATATATTTTTCAATAATATTTTTCTTTTTTATTTTGTATTTTGAGAGAATTTCATGGTACTATTTAATATTTATGCAATAATTATGATACATTTTTCCCATTGAAAATAAATTTTTAAAAAATTATTATTTTTCTATTTTTAATTATGGCAGTATTTCATGTTAAAATAGAGACAATGCCTTTAAAATCCAATTTTTTAAAGGCAGATTAGTGCCATTTGGTGGGAGTAAAAAAAAAAGAAATAAAAAAACTTCTGAAATTCCATGCTTTAGACATAAATATATTTTTTAAGTTGTGGATTTGGATTTATATTTAGCCATTCTCAAAGACAACTTTTTGTAAAGGTTTAGAATATTATTTTTTCCCGAAATGTTGGTTTGAAATGTCATTTTTGCATTAATTTTACTGCAGTCCCACCTGAACAAAAATACATTTTATTACACATAACATCAAAGTTCAACAAAAATGTAACAAAAAATGAACGAATTCTTTATCAGAGGTTAATCAATCTGATTTCAACCTCTTATTTTTGTGTGTGTGTGTCTGCGAGTGTGTGTGTCTTTTTTGTACTCTTGATGTTTTAGAGTGTCTGTCACCCCTTCCTTGGTTGTCTGTGTTTTAACTTTTTCGAATCAAGTCCAATTTTTTATTTTTTTTTGTGGTCACAGTGACTGCAATAAAAGTCACCGAGTTCCGTACCATTCCAATGAAGTAGCGATTTTTTAAATTTTAATCTTTAGCTACTGAGTTTTAGAGAGAAATCGATTTACTTAAAGCTGCAGTCCATATGTTGTGCCTCTTTGTCGCCATCTCTGTTTGAAAACCTGGAATTGCAGCTGTGTGCGGAATTATCTAGCTTGCGTGGGTTGTGAGTCGGCACGGCTCCAGCGTGGATGAATCTAATGTTCTGAAGGGTATATGTGGCAGTCAGTCACCACACCGGTGTGGATATTTACTGTACTTCGCAATCACAGATTCTAGCCTATATCTTGGAATATGATCCAAATAAGAATTTTCACCGTTTGTTGCCATCTGAACAAGTAAGTAACAAGTCTGCCACGTTTGTTCTGACCAACTGAGGAAAAAAGCATTACCATAAATCTCGCTACCAATGGTGATTAAGTGTAACGATCGGTTAGCTCATATCACATCAAACCGTTCAAATTATTATTATTGTTATACTTTATTCTCAAATGATTAATGTTAACAACATCAGCATCGGTGACTATGAGTATAGTGTGTATTAGTGTGTAGATTTCAATTTCTGCACTGTCTAATTGTCATACTCTTCAAATTTCATATTAAGAAATTATTTTTAACCCAAAAAGCAAATTATGCTCCCTTCGAACTGGTTTTCTTTAAAATACAAATCGTGTGTAATCCCAGGCTATCTGTAATCAGAAGCACATTTATAACGGGAATATAATTTAATTTCATTCACATGTGTTTCATAAACGCATAATCCTTTCTGGATTACAATCCACCATCAAAATGATACATTTAATTATTCCGGCTGCTGTGAGAAAAGGCTATAAACGATTGGCCACCTGCAGCATCCTCACATGTGATAGCCTACTAGCCGAGACAACTACTTTATGTTTACAGACGTGATGTAATGACGCAGTGCCATGCTCGAATTTCCCGCGAAAACTTACCCCTTCCACTCACAAGCTAACCGTTGTGAATCGG